TCATAATGTAGCCCAGGCTGCACTTCAACTCACAATAATACTCCTGCCTCAGCTTTCCAAGTGCTGCAATACAGGCGTCCTCCACCACACCTGGCTCATTTTGTTTTGGTTTGGTTTAGTTTCTCTGTGTAACAGCCCTGGCTGTCCTGGAACTCACTCTGTAGACCAGGCTGGCCTCAAACTCAGAGATCTGCCTGCCTCTGCCTCTACTGGGATTACAGGTGTGCACCACCATACAGAGTATCTATACATTGTCTTGCTTGTCTTCAAATTTGACTTAAGTTCTCAAAACTACCTTCTTCATAAACATTAGCTATCTCCTTCCCTCCCCTTTCTATAGGCAGCTAATTTCTGGAGAGATGCTCTCAAGACCAGTATGGCCACTGACAGTCTTAAGATCCTTACTGATTAACAGTGAGAAGCCTTGTGTTTTATTTCGGTCTGATAGCTGTGTAAGTTTCTCAAGACCCTGTTTAATGAAGTCTGTTGGAAACACTGGATTGTCCCACCACCAGTATACCTTCTGTTCTCATTGAAGGTCACAGGATACTTCAGTACTATTTAAAATGAGAGTATTTATAGTGTAGAAAATCCCTAGGATTTACATGATACTGTAGTGTTATATGGTATAGCATTCTTCAAAAATTTCAAATGACTGTCCAAATGATCTTAAATCATCATTCCTGAGCGGGTGAAGTATGGGTACATGACGGTGATGGAATTGGGTCATGATTATTTATAACTAATGCTCTTTCAATGAAAGTACCAACTGTGTATCCCTATACACAGTTCTTAAAGCATTTTGAAATTTGTTTTCTCCTCTCCCTAGGAAGTTGCCACAAAACCTGTTGTGATTTCTACCCCTACACCCACCATTGTGCGTCCTGGCTCCCTGCCTCTTCACTTAGGTTATGATCCACTTCATCCAACTCTTCCTTCCCCAACCTCTGTCATCACACAGGCTCCACCATCTAACAGGCAAATGGGGTAAGTAGGAGAGAAAGAGAAACTGTGGAACCTGGATTTCCTTTGGTGTTTGGAAACAATTTTTCTGTGTAGCCCTGGCTTTCCTGAAACTGGCTCTGTAGACTGACCTGGCTTTGAACTCAGAGATCCGCCCTCCTCGGCCTCCTGAGTGCTGAGATTAAAGTGTGTGCCACCACCACTTGGCTTTTTTTTTTTTTTACATAGATTTATTTTTAATTATCTTTTAAAATTATGTGTAGATGTGTATGACTTCCTCTGGGTATGTTCACATAAGTACAGGTGCCCCTCAGAGACCAGAGGCATTGTCAGATCCCTAGGAGCTGGAGTTGTGAGCTGCCCGACGTGGATGCTGTAAACTGAACTTATCTCTTTTGTAATATATGAAGAACCATCTCCAGCCCTTCTGAATCTCTATGTTTTGAAAGATTTTGATAAAAATAGAAACTGTTCTATTGTTGTTCTCAGATTTGTTGTTGTTTTGAGACACAGTCTTTCTAAGTAGCCAATCATCCTGCTTCTGCCTCCTGGTTGCCAGGGTTAGAGGTAAATGCTACTGAAGCTGGCTCCAGGGATTTATTTGTACATGTCCAAGAGAATGCGTTATTAAGATTGTTTCCAAAAATAAAACATCTTCAAAAAACTTATTTGCTGGAGCAGATATTTGTTTAATCTTCCCAAATTCCTAATTGAGTTACCTCCCAGCCATTAAATGTGATTAACTTGAAAGGTGTAAGGTTTTCGCCAGACTGTGGGACTGGAAATGTAGCTCAGTAGTAGAACACTTCCTCAGCATGTCTAAGGCCCTATTAATCCCAGCACCAAAAAAACCACCAAATCTTTGCAGGCTAAGGCAAGTAGACTAGGACTTGTCTGACATGTTCTAAGGTAATTTTGTTAAAACCTTGGGGGGGGGGGGGCGGACCACACTGCCATTTTCCTCTGTTTTTCCCATGTTCAATAGGATGTCAAGATTTTATAGTGCTGCTCTATACCTTCCCTAATGAAAAGACTATTAAAAAAAAAAAATCTTCTAATTATAGGAGGAAGACCAATAGGCAAAAGGTCAAGACTGTGACATTTCCCTTCCTGTCCCTACAGATCTCCTACTGGCTCCCTCCCTCTCGTCATGCATCTTGCTAATGGACAGACCATGCCTGTGCTGCCAGGGCCTCCAGTACAGATGCCTTCTGTTATTTCGGTAAGCTTTGTAGTTGGGGTAGCCAAACCTACCAGCACACTGATCCCTCCCTTCTACATGAATGGTCATAACCAGAGGACCCCCAGGGAAATGTGGGCCTGGACTATATTAGTTGTGTATGGCAGTCTGCCCAAACTCTTCACTCCGCTCTGCCAGTCCAGCACTGTGAGACACTAGACAAAGACTCATCTGGACAGTTGGCTGCTAGTCAAGGAGTTAATCTGGTCAACATGCTGATTGGCTGATTTCACTTGGCGCATAGTTTCTCCAGCATTGCTCACCACTTTCCTGAAGATATACCCTCAGCCTTTCCCACAGAAAATGTCTCCACACTAAAGAATGAGACTCTTGACTCTGTTACACTCCTTAGGGAACGTATTTCCCAGGCTGTTCCTGCATATCCTGTGAGCAGATTACATAGGACAGACCCTGACATGCCAATCTCAAAAACACTTCATTTGGGAAAAACCAATACTACCATGTCTCCTTCTCTTGATTTAGCTGGCCAGACCTGTGTCCATGGTGCCCAACATTCCTGGTATACCTGGCCCACCAGTTAACAGTAGTGGCTCCATTTCTCCATCTGGTCACCCTATGCCATCAGAAGCCAAGATGGTGAGTACATCCCAGCTCAGAGCAATGTTGGCCTTCTAAAAGAAGTAGTGTCAGTCTGGGTTTTTCAAGTGAACTGAGCAAAGGAGCCTTCTGAAACTGCATACCTAAAGACGTCCTGCTGTGGGGCTGGGAAAAGAAAAGACCCCGATTCCTAAGTCTCCTGTCCCCACCCATGCAGCTTGGCACAGGTCATGGCCCAGGACGAAGCAGCACAGATTGTTTGGAATGGAACACTTGTCATTTCAGTTCCAGGGTGACAGATGGAGGGGACGAGTGGGCAGGGGAGCTGGCCAAGTGAGTAGCTGTGTAACCAGCATCTGGCCAGGTTCCAAGAGAGAGCTTTCCTCGGGGTCCTATTGCTTCCACAAGCCCCATCCCCAGCTGTGCCCAGGATGGTAGCCAGGGGACAGAGCAGGCTCCTCAAGCAGCCAGGTGCGCACTTTCTCTCCCTGTCATTGTCTTTTAGTTCCTCTGTTAAGAGAGAATGAGAGTGAGAATTTTAAGTATAAGGTCAGTAATAAAATACAAGTTCATCCTTTCTATCCTTGATAGAATCTCACCCTTAAACAATCTTTCCACACAGAGACTAAAAGCCACTCTGACCCACCAAGTCTCTTCAGTCAATGGAGGTTGCGGAATGGTGGTGGGTACTGCCAGCACCATGGTGACAGCCCGTCCAGAGCAGAACCAGATCCTCATCCAGCACCCTGATACCCCATCCCCTGCCCAGCCACAGGTCAGTTGTGCCCTTGGATGGGAGAAGAGATGTGTTGCCCTTATTCTTTATGTTATATCTGTCTTTCAAGAAGCATGAACTGAGAGAAGAATAAATTTAACTTTCTGGATATCCTGCTACCTTGGATGTTTTTGGTAGGTTGACTGTAGTGAAACAAACTATTTTTTATCTACCTTTGTATTAGACATAAAAGCAGCATGAATTATGCAGAGCTGTTGCCAAGAATTTTTTCCCATATATGAATGATAGCTTAATGTAGATTCTGAGCTGATGGAGACTTGCATTAAAGCCACATCATGCACTAAACAAAGGAGGCTTCTGTATCTCTTGCAAGACTCTTAAGTCTTAACAAAAAATGTTATCAGTTACCTGACTAGATTTTATAACACAGAGCATATTATAAAAATATATTAATACAATATGATGTTATAGTAGTAAAATACAGTTCATTAAAAATAAGAAAACCTCATTACCAATCCAATAGTCCCTTTTTATCACAAAGAAATGAAAATTTAAAAAAAATTTAAAAGTCAAGAGAAGGTGCCATTTAGTTGCCCGATGTCTTCTCAAAGAAGTCTCCATTTTAATGCAATTCTTTAGGAACTGAATAGCTTTAGTTTTCATAATTGTCTGCACTGGACAGGTGACAATGACCTGGGATTGGTTTCTAGAGTTGCATTCATTGCCCAGTCTCTCTTTTACTGATGTCACCACCTGCTTCATCAGTACTGCCACATGTCCAGACATTTCATGGCCATATGCTGCCTTAAACCTTGGCCAACAACACAGCTTTCATTTGTGTTTTCTTCTTAAAAGCTAAGGCTTCCCACCATTCTGACCCCTCACTCCCCAAAGCCAGCCAGCCCTGGAGATAAAGTAGTAACCCTTACCTGAGCTAGACTTTTCCTCTTGGAGAAAGGATGTGGCTTCTTGTCAGTCACTGCTGAGTTCTCTTCTCTCCTTTTTTATATCTAAGACAAGATTTCTCTGTGCTTCCCTGGCCGTCCTGGAAATCACTTTGTAGACCAGGCTACCCTCAGCCTCGACCTCCTAAGTGCTGGGATTAAAGGTGTGCTAACCCACTGCCTGACCTGCCTCAGCCTCCTGATCGCTGAGATTAAACCCAGCTGGGTTTCTTGAAAAAAAAAAAAAAAGGCTCTCCTTGGTACTAGGATCCAAGCAGTCTTGGATCTTGTCTTAATTACTGATATTACTGGAGAACATAATTCAGTAGAGCCTAAAGTAGATTTCCTTTTGTTGGTTTTTGGTTTTTTGAAACAGGGTCTCACTATGTAACTGAGTCCTAAAACTCACTCTGTAGACCAGGCTGGCCTTGAACTCACAGAGATCCGCCTGCCTCTGCCTCCCAGGTGCTGGGATTAAAGGCGTGCACCTTTCTTCTTGTTGTCGCTCCGGCTTATCTTTATGCAGGTGATTACTAGCACTGGAAAAATACTAATATAGGTATTCAAACTAAAAATTAGTTTGGGGCCAGCAAGATGGATCAGTGACTAGAGATGCTTACCACCAAGGCTAAACCTGAGTTCCATCTTCTGAACTCCCATGAAGGTGAAAGGAGAGAACTGACTCTACTTGAACTTGTACTCGGACCTCTACAGACACCATGGCATACACACATGTGATAATAACAGTATGATTTTTAACTTTAAAAAAGAACTTACTTTTGGCATGAAGTCGATGTACCTTCTCTGTATGTGTGTCAACTATAGAGTGGAAAGATAATCCACAGTGCTTTCCTGCAAAGGGTTTCACTGGGAGCTTAAAAACCAAAGACCACCCAGTGGTGGTGGTGGTGGCAGTTGGTGGTGGTGGTGGTGGTGGTGGCTGTGGCAGCAGCACACACCTTTAATCCCAGCACTTGGGAGAAAGAAGCAGGTGGATCTCTGTGAGTTCGAGGCCAGCCTGGTCTACAGAGCGAGTTCCAAAGACAGCCAAGGCTACACAGAGAAACCCTGTCTCAAAAAACAAAAACAAAAAAAGATGCTGTGTTGAAAAAGGAAAGAAGGGAAAGAGGGAGGGGAGAGAGAGTAAGTGGGCCTCGTGGCACAGCACTGTCATCCAGGCTGTTTAGCGTAATCTCAAGAGTTCCAGCATTTGGGGATAGAGCCAGGAGGAGCAGGAGTTTAAGGTTTTCCAGGGCTCCGTAGTGAGCGGAGGCCAGCATGGACTGTGCAAGGCCCTGTGTCAGCCAACAAAGGAGGAGGAGCTTTGCAGCTCAAACCCTAGGTTCAGTCCCAGACCCCAAAGAAGGAAACAAAGCCAAACAAACTCCTAAGTGATCCTAGTTTCATTTCTGTCTCAGAAATAGTCAGTTTCCATAAGAACTGTGACTTTTCTGTATGTGTACTGAGAGGACTGGGAGATGAAAGGCAGGACAGGAAGCTAGGAGACACAGTGATGAGACTTGGTGTGGCTACCAGACCTTACTAATCTACCTAACTCAGTTTTGATTTGGAAAGAAAAAATTGTTTTCCCATCAAGTACTTCTCTGCTCTGCCAAGTGACGAGTTAGAAATTGGTGCCTGTGAATCCCAACACTCTGGATACCTAAACAGAAAGACCAAAATTCAGGGTCTACCTGAGCTGTTCAAAGACAGACCAGAAAAAGGAAAAGAAAAAAGTATTCTTCTTCTTTTCTGGGCAACAGGTCTCTCCAGCCCAGCCCACCCCTAGCACTGGGGGACGGCGGCGGCGTACAGTAGATGAAGATCCAGATGAGCGACGGCAGCGATTTTTAGAGCGAAACCGAGCTGCAGCCTCCCGATGCCGCCAAAAGCGGAAGCTGTGGGTGTCCTCCCTGGAAAAGAAGGCAGAAGAACTTACTTCTCAGAACATTCAGCTGAGTGTGAGTGGGTGACTGTTAGGACTGTAGAGTCTGGAGACAGTGCAGCAGTAGAACAGGGGATGGGTGTTACTAATTAGGTTAGATCTGGAAGTGTGGTGGGAACTGTACAGAGCCCCATAACCGTCAGGATTGAAACCCTTCTCCTAGCGATTGAGATGAGACTGTCTCCTTCCAGATCTTCCCCTAGCACAAGTCATTCAGAGACCCAGACAAAACGCTCAGCAGTCAGAAGGCAGGAGTGGAGACAGACCCGTCTGGATGAAGGAAGTCAGGTTAAGCACCCCATGTTGTGTTCTCTATCTTAAGTAGAACCTGACTGGAGTTAGAGACTACCTAATGAGAAATGTATTTACTTCAGCTATTGTAGGTGTCTTAGCATTTCTGTTGCTGTGAAGAGACACCATGACCACAGCAACTCATAAAGGAAAACATTTAATTGGGGCTGGCTTATAGGTTTCAGAGATTTAGCCTATTATTGTCATGGTGGGAAGCATGGCAGCACCCACGCAGACATGGTGCTGAGAAGGAGCCGAGAGTTCTGCATCTGGATTGGCAGGCAGGAGGAAGAGAGTGAGCCACTGGGCCTGGCTTGAGCTTTTGAACCTCAAAGCCCACCCCCACGGACATACTTCCTCCAACAAGACCACACCTTCTAATGGTGCCACTCCCTATGGGCCTGTGGGGTCCATTTTTATTCAAAACACCACAATACGTTAGTTAATAAAATAAAATAAAATAAAATAAAAAAACTTGAACACAAACAAAATAATTATAGTCCAAGCATTCTCTTATTATTTTCCCTTCTTTGGTTCTGTTTTTAAAAGTATCTTTTAAGGCTAGCCTGGACTACCAAGTGAGTCCCAGGAAAGGCGCAAAGCTACACAGAGAAACCCTGTCTCGAAAAACCAAAAAAATAAATAAATAAATAAATAAATAAATAAAAGTATCTTTTATGGGCCAGTGAGATGGCTCAGTAGATAATGTCACTGCCTGCCACCAAGCCTGACAACCCAAGTTCTACCCTTGGGACCCACACAGTAAAATGAGAGAGTCTACCCCCAAAAGTTGTCCTTTGATCTTCACACATGCCCACCCATATACATATACACATTAAATAAAATAAATTTAAGAAGGGGTCAGTGGGATACCTCAATGGTAAAGTGCTTATCACCAGGTCTGATGACTTGAATGTGATTTTCAGATCCCACTGCTTGTCCTCTGACACACACACATATACACTCTATGATATGCACATGTCTACACACATACACACAAAGTAAACTATGTTTAAAAAAGAATACCTTATGTTTATGCTTTGACAATTTTATACATGTATATAGTGGGGGGTTTTTTGGTTTTTTTTTTTTTTTTTTTTTTTTTTTTTTTTGGGTTGTGTGTTTTGTTTTGTTTTTTGGGGAGGGCGGTTGTAGATGTAAATGTCTTATTAAATAAGAAACACAGAGCCAAATACAGAGTTAA